TTTTAATGGGAGATTCTAGAGGCCAAAATAAGACGAAAATGAAGAATATCGGTTTCTTGACTGAGGCCTCGTTAAAAAGTTATTAAAAAATTTCAAATCTTTCTGGAAAAATTATTTTCGGTTTCTGTGGTCGTTTACAATCATTTTTGGTGAATAGATATATACCCGTAATCCTACGCACTTTCGAGAAAAAAATTCGAATAGGTATGACATTTTTGGGCGAAATTGAAAAGTTTCAAATCGTTCTAAAAAAATTATTTTCAGTTGCAGGGGTCGATTACAGTCATTTTTGGTGAATACACATACCCCCGAAATCCTACGTATTTTGGAGAAAAAAATTCGAGTAGGTGCTGACATTTTTGGGCAAAACTAAACAATTTCAAATCGCTCTAGAAAAATTATTTTCAGTCGCAGGGGTCGATTACAGTCATTTTTGGTGAATAGACATATCCTCGAATTCCTACGCACTTTCGAGAAAAAAATTCGAATAGGTATGACATTTTTGGGGGAAATTGAAAAGTTTAAAATTGTTCTAAAAAAATTATTTTCGGTTTCTGGGGTCATTTACAATCATTTTTGGTGAATAGACATATACCCGAAATCCTACGCATTTTCGAGAAATAAATTCCTAATCGAAAATGTAATTTATGTTGCCCGAAAATGTCACGCGAATCATCAAAATGTCATAACTTCTGAACGGATTGGAGGATTTTAATGTTTCAAACGGCAAACAACGCGTATTTTAGCGTAGAATATGTAGACACTCTGAAAATAATCGAAAAGTTATTCCTTAACCCCGTAAAATGACAAAAACCCCATAAAAGTGGTCCAATTTTCAAACAGCCATAACTCCTATAATAGTGAATATATTTCAATAAAACTTTTTTCTGAAGTAGAGCTCATGGATACCTATAAAAAAGTATTAGACAAAATTTCCATAGGACGTCAAACTAATTTTCATTTGCGGGGGTCAATTATAATAATTTTTGGTGAATAGACATACCACCGAAATCCTACTCACTTTCGAGATAAAAATTCGTATAGTTGCCGAAATTTTTTGGCGAAATTAAATAATTTCAAATCGTTCTAAAAAAATTATTTTCAGTTGCAGGGTTCAATTATAATCATTTTTGGTGAATAGACATACCCCCGAATTCCTATGCACTTTCGAGAAAAAAATTCGTGTAGGTACTGAACTTTTTAGATGAAATTAAAATATTTAAAATCACACTAAAAAAATTATATTTAGTTACAGGGGTCAATTGCAATCATTTTTTATCATTACACATATCCCCGAATTCCTACGCATTTTCAAGTAAAAAATTCGAGAAGGTGCTGAAATTTTTGGGCAAAATTAAACAATTTCAAATCGTTCTAAAAAAATTATATTTAGTTACAGGGGTCAATTGCAATCATTTTTTATCATTACACATATCCCCGAATTCCTACGCATTTTCGAGAAAAAAATTCCTTACCGAAAATCTAATTCAATTAAATATCATTCTTAGTTTGTTTTTTATGAGCTTTTTTCTAACCATAACAAGCTCGTCAAATTAAAAGGGTTAAATCATTATATCTTTCGATCTCTCTATCGAGTCATCCTGGATAGTTCCATGGCTTTGAATGGTTCGTGAACTATGTACTCTAATAACTGGGCTTTTTTTTTTATTTGTGTTAAAGACTGTCTGATTGAGAATTCTCGAGAATGTTAATCCAGACTCTGTTCTACTGCGAAGTAACAGCGTATCTCTACGTCTCGACTAGCAGAACGACGGAAAATTCCGCTCGAAACGCGTTGAACCGGAGGTCAAAGCAATTAACAGCGGCCTGTCCAGGTCTGCCGAACACTCGACGGATCGTTTCTGGAACGATTCGCTCGCGTATAAAGGAAACGGCTGGTCGGCCAGTGAGTCACGTATATTGTTCATCGTTTAGCAACCCACGACGCCTTTCTCCGTCTGAATTAACGGCTCCCCGGCTTTTTGTCGTCGCGAAAGACAACGAGCGCGTCGCATACGCGTCGTCGTGGATGCAAAGATCACTCCGATCGGTTAGTTCTTTGTGAAATCCGATATTTGAACAGCCGTGTCGCGTCTTTAAATAATTGCAACGTTTACTGGAGATGAGACACTGGTCAGACGGTTTGAAACCGATGGAATCCCGCGAGCTAGACAAATTTGCTGGATCGTGGGTGGCTGGACGATTTGCATAAAATCTTCGAGACGCGTATGGCGCGTGGGCGGTCTCTGGAACGCTCGAATTTGATCGAAAGAGAATGCCTGCGAGCCGTGTCGCGATTGCACGATCGGCCAATGATGTTAAATAGAAGCGTGCGTCTCGGTACGAGTCAGTTTCTGGAACAATTGGTCGATAAATTTCCCGAGCGGTCAGAGAGTCGTCGTCGATTTACTTTCGATCGGTGGCCTACGGTCTCCATATCGTGCCGTCTGTCGACGATACGCGTATAATCTGGAAATAATTCTTCGCCACGTGGACTCCGTTCGATCGGGGGTCAACGCTCCGCGCATCGGTCGAAGTAAAAGCGCACCGAATATGTACTTCCCGCTCGAAGACGATAGCGGCTCTAATTTAATTTGCTCTTATCGTCGATCTCAGGGGGGATCGAATTGCCCGCCAGACCGCGGGGCGGGTCGATTTCCAAAATGACTCCTTTTTTCAGTACGCGTGTGCACGCCGGTGAGTCATTTGTCTCCATACGCGTTTCTGTAATCTCTGAAAACGCAGGGGGAAATTGACTGGAAGAAAGGAGGGACGGGGGACTTAAAAAGAACAGGGAAAAAGGTCTTTCTACGGTGACTCAGAATTCGTTCGAGTACTTGCATGCTCGAAGAAATATGGTGTCTTTCTTCGACGTAAACATATCGCGATTGCCACATCTGTGTACCATAGATTGTACGGAAACCCTCCATTACGGTTCTCGCGTGTGCATACAATGCTAGACGGAAGTATTGACACGTTCGTTTAAAATAACGCAACCTGACAAAATGGTTGGGTGATTTTCTTTGGTAGAGTTAGCCAATAATCTCCATAGATTATCCAACAAAGTCAACGTATCGAATTGTCCCAAGAGGGTGGTGGGAACAGAGGAACAATACGCCAGTAATTACCGAAAGAGAGAAAAATGTTAAACCGGAGGCCGGCGTTAATCCCGTTCCAGCGGGAAAAGAACGCATCGGGAAATGAGAAAAGTCAGGTAGGGGGTAGGGGGGGCAGAAGCAATTGCTTCCTGGTTTTTCACGGTATTCGTGATTATTCGCCGGGACGGGAACAAAAGGGGAGGCAATACGACGATGTTCCTCCGGGGGGGGGGCCTCCGTGTTCCTCCAGCGTGAATCCTCCTCTTGTTTCGCTACAACGGCTGACATATTTCTTTCACCGGGTACAGAGGCCAGGGAAAACGAGAAGTCTGGACGGGAGTCTGTGTCCCGTTCTTTCTCTAGTTTTCTAGCTCGGGTCGTTACCGATGCCGCCATTGTCCCGATGCATTTTCACGATGCACGCGACAGCGCTCGCTGAAACGCCGCTTAATCGCATCTATCGTTTTCTAAAGCGACTACGAATTAACCCAATTCGTGACGGGACGATCGTCGAGCAATTTCTCCTCCAATTTATCCTGACTTACGATTGGTACCGTTGTTAAAATATATAGTCAATGTCGGAAGTACCAGTTAATTATATAATTGGGCATTCGATAATTTCCTGTGAAAAGAATCGATCGATTCTCCGTTAACAAAGCAAAGAGGAGAACCGGAAGAGAAAAAGGGGTGCGGGAGGGTTGGATCGAAGAGCCCTTCGAGCGTGGAAGAGCCACCGTTACTATTTTCTACCTCTGTTTCTTACCATGGGACGAAAATACACGCGATGGTACTCGTTTCGGAGCAGACGTTTCTTAAATAAGCAGCGGTCCCTTCGAAAAAGAGGAGCGCACGGAACGAGGCGCGTTTCTCTCCTCCGCTACTTCCGGGACAACCCCCGACGCGTGTGCATCGTCGTGTTTCTCCTAGCTCCTGTTTTAGAAACTGCTGGAACAAGCGAACCTTGCGCAGTTTTACGAAACGAGCCCAAGCTCGAAAACTGTTTGCGCCTGGTTTTTTCTTTTTTTCGAGCACCACTTCCTCGAGGCCGGGGAGAAATTTTCGCGTAGCCGACGAGTGCTCGGCGTCCCCAAAAAACAAAGCTGTTCTCTCGACCCTTTGGAACCGTCCGCGCTAAAATATCGCGTCCGGTTTTTCTGTTTTCCGTGCGAGAAGCGACGCGCGCACGGATATTTATAGTCGGCGAATACGAGAGCCACGGGACGCGAATTACGTCGCGCGGTTCCCTGTTTATTCCCCCCTTTTTGTTTTGTTTTTCTGCCACCCCAGAATTAACCGGATCAACGGGCGTGTACGCGCGTGCATATCGCGGCGTTTCTGACCCGCTGCTTCCACGCCGTTCGTTCCACTCCTTATAAATAGACGCTTGAAATTCTGTCGCGTCCGGGCGCGCCGGCTCCGAAGATCCACGGGGATCCTAGGACGCGGAATAGATCGCTCGTCGACCGCCATTCATTAGACGGCGAGAGCGTCTGCACGATGTTTTCCTTGGTGCTCCACGGCGGCCTTCTCTGCCTTCTTTTTAAAAGCGATTTCCACGAAGCTTGTTGACACTTCGTGAAACGGGACCGCGTTTGAAGCACGATCTTACCCCGTAAAGATGGTTTTACAAAACCGCGAGCTCGAAAGACCGAAGTAAACGGACGTTTTCGGAGGAAATTGAGCCGTAAATTCTCGAATACCAGCCTTGGAATAGTTTTTAAAACCGTGAAGATTCGAATCGTTAATAGTTTCGATAATAGTTGCGATACGCTATGGAATAATTGATCAAAGAAGGCTCGTGTATTACTGTTTCATTCATTAAAAAAGAATGTACCTTGCTCCGATTATAGGCTTTATCGGGCGTATCTAGGTTCGCTAATCAGCTTCCCGTTTTGTTTGCAGATATTCGGGGCACGGCAACACGAACCACATCTATCATGTCGGTTCCTATTTAAGGTGAGCATCGCGTATTCAATAACGATGTTTCTACGATATTATCTCGCTTCCACGAACAACGAAACCTTGTTTGTGCCGGCGTTTGCTCGATCGTGGTACAGTCACGGTTCGATTGAATTATACCCGGTGCTCTTGAAACGGATTCGATGCTCGTATTTATAGCGTTTCGATGTTTCAACATTGGGTTCAAGGCCCTTCGAGTCGTTCGTAGGTACACTTCCAAGTTAAAAATTGTTCGACGTCGATCCGTAACCGTATCACGATTGAAATCATATACCAATGGTGGTCGTATCTTCTTATTCTGTACAATTATTGTATGGCTATCTAAAAGAGTACTTTCTAGAAATGGTTACTGTAAATCTATCAACAAATATCATGTTTTATTCAAAGTGGTAGGTGTCTAGAGGAGTAGCAATTTGGCCACCATTGCTATACAAGGCAGAGTTTCCTCGAATGCATCCGTAATTCGATGTAATCGCGCGCGTTGCCAGCCGTTTGACAATAGAATTTACGCAACACGATCCTCCTCGAAGCGAGAATCGATCGGTCGTAACCGTGCGTTGCATAATCGAGAATATCGGTCACGATCAGAGTCGAGTAAATTTCATTCGGTAAATAACGAATAGAAATTCCATATTCTCTTACAAACGAGCCTGTTACGGGTGTCTAACGATTTAATCTTAATTTAATTTATCCTAAACGTTGTAGTCGTCGCTCGAGAATAAAATTTGACCGACCAAGGCTTATCGATTCGCTTTTATCCGAAGGCTCGACGCAACGTCTCTCGTAATTGTTCGTTCGTCGGGTACCAAAAGAGACAAAAGAAGGTGGCGGAAGGGAAAAACGTAATATCACGGGTACATTGTGTCCTCGGTGGGCGATAAAAGGTATCGGGGAAGGATCCTGGATACTCGAGCAACGAGAGAATCGATGCCTCGTTAGAAACGGCTGCGAGATCGTAATTATTCTGCAGAACCGGAAGTGCGCAATTCGAGATCGACTCGTCAATTTTTCAGCTCTTCCGAACTCCATCCATCGATCGTAGAAACAGCTTCCCGAGTCGGTAGACACAGATATACTCCGTAAATCGCGTAACGATCGACGTTAAATCTTTTTTCTTCGATGTATGCAACAACTTTGTACATCGTCTCGTAAAAGTGTAAGTAAATTCGAGGATCGCGAGCCTGCATTTCACTTTTCGAGTTTGACGATTAAGCCTCCGGGACAATGAAACTTGGACACGTGGTGTATATAAGCCTGCTTTCTCCTCGAACGCGGGGAGAAGTTCTTTTAAGCGGCGTTAATTGCGCTACTCGTGTGCCCCATCATCCGCTCCGCGTACACGCGACGAAGAATACGACCGGGAAACGATGTTATGCGCGACGTTTTAATGGACGGTACGACGCGTCGTGAAAGTTGCGTGTTAGGGTAAATGAAAAAAGAATTAATAACAGAAAACTCCTTGGTCCGAGAGATTAAAGCGGAATGCTACGTATTATTGAACAGCGTAGGAATGTTTCGTACACACAAGCTTCATAATGAAACGCTTTCACGATCGATGAAGGCAAGAACAAAGGTGCTCTGGGGAAAAAAGCGACCGACGACGACAAGGAGCTTGGAGAAGGATCATCTGGTACTTAAGGCCTCTACAGACGAATTACCGAGAAATATCATCGACATAACTTCCAGATGAGCCAGCGGTCGATCGAGAAATTCGAGAGAACTCGAAGCTCATCCTTGGTCGAACGGTCTTAAGAGAAACATCGATTCCTCGCAGCTGCTTGCATTTTAAAAATCGTAGGAACTTTTTGGTCGACTTACCGGCTTCTTTTCGAAGATGTAACGCACCTGGAACGTTCGGTATTTTGTCTCGTAAAATGGAGGATATTTTTACCGAGAACGGCTTGGAAGGGAAAAGCGTCAGAGAACCGAATTCCGGTGTGGGTTGCGTTGGAACGAGAGTGGGAGACGCTAATGCGTGTGTACCGTGTGGGGCAACGTCATCCCATCAGCAGGATAGCTTATGGCAGCTATGTCAAGGCCGCGGCAATCTCTCGACTTTATCTAACGAACTTAGCTCGATTAGTGCTCGCACGCATTTACTGCTCATACGTCGGGAATGCTTGCATAAAATTGCCGCCGGCACTTTCATCGCGTTGCAACGAAGGCGACCGTTTCCTCCGAAAAAGAGACAACGACGTTCGCTCGAGAGCATTTCAGCGATTACGATTGGAAAGGCGGTTTCGATATCGAAGTGTCGTGGAATATTACTTTTATTCGTTCAACGTCTTGCAGCGTTCGAAACAAACGTGTAGGAGTCTCGGAACGAAGGCATCGGAGATGCATGATCCATCTCTGTCGCGGAGTCAACCAGCCGGAACATCGGAACAGCGGTTACATGATCAAAGTCACGAGCATGGTAGGAAGAACGAAATCACAAGTTGCGAATACGCCAAAGACGCGAGGATTATAAACCGTGCCGCGGTAATCAAAAACATGACGCGAAGAGTACATACGGAGGGACGTAAGCGTGAAAAATCACAGTGCCACAGCAAGGAGAATCGAATATTATACCGAGAGATATCGTAAATACCTGTACACGCGCGGTTAAAAATGTAGAAAGATGATTTAACGCCACTTGCCGCTTGAGAAAACGGCGATGCAACATAAGTTATACCAATGTAAATATTATGGTACGTGACAAGAACAAATTACGTGTTGAGCCGTCTTTTATGGATAACAGGTGTATGCTTTAACGCCAGCTTGTTTTAGCCGAACGTTCGACCCTGAGAGTCGCATGCAACTACATATGATCTAACAGCAGGGAGTCTGGACTATGTTGCATCAGAAATTGTTTAACTTTTGGGAATCTATACTATATAATTTTAGTTACACCTGTTCTAAATATAGATCCATCGCTAGACTGTGGATCTTTATTCGAATTCATATTTTATGGGAGCTTTGTAGATGATTGTCTCAAAACTTAAATTCGTATCTTAATTTAAGTATTTCTTATATTTTTGCACATTAAGTGCATTCTGTAGTTTCTTGAGAATTAAAATTCCCCACAAATGCATAAACATCCACAGTCAATCCATCACCCTGTCGAATTTCTTTAAAATCAGAGTCAGAGAGTCTCGTCAGTATTGGAATCCCACAACTCTTTTAGTAACCTAAAAAGATCTCGATTCTATGGCTGTATTTTGTCAATTTTCTTCCTCTTTCGAACGAGACCTCATCCGACCCAAAAGGTGCTCATATAAGGGCAAAATCTCTTATTTCGTAAACCCCTATTTCGGGGCAAATTTTGTCGGTATACAGGGCGCTGCATTACCCGTTATCCCCTTGAGGTCATCGTCGTTCTCTACTACCCCAGAGTGTGAAAAAGGGCTCTTGACGTCTTCTCTGCGAACAGTTCGTTGCCAGTACGGATAGGGGGAGAGAGACGCGGATACGCGAAGCGGTTAAAAAACAGGGGGGATTTAAAAGGTGTAACGCGAGCCGGTGACGATACCTTAACGAGAACCGGCAGCGTTAATTTCGCCATCCCGGCAACCTTGCTTGTCCCGCTGCGCTGCACGCGGAGTCGACGTGGTCGTCAGCTGTGCGAAGGTCAGGGTCGTCCGGCAGCCGAGGGGTGCAATCGATGCGCGATACCGCCTCTCTCTTGCACCCCTCGTTCGGTGCAGTTACCATGGAGACCATCTCCTGACCCATTGCTACAGAGCCGTAGCCCGTCGACACGGAGAGAGGAGGCTGGCTGCATCGGGTGACCGTCTCCCGGCGCGAGCGTGCCGCAGACAAGGAACAGGAACACGCGGAAGAGACGGACGACCAACGCCGCTTCCGCCTATCGCGCACCCGGGCGAATTCCACGCGTTTCGTTCGTTCCAATGTTCTTCCTTCTTTTTGTTAACCATCGGTGGAGATGGTACGAGTGACCTTGCCCTTCGACGAGAGAATTCGGGACACGAGGGTAGCCGTGTAATCGTCGATCGAGCACAAGTGGTACAACGACGTAGTGTGTACGAAGCAACAACGAATTTACTCGAATTTAGTGGCCGTAAATTGTCGACGAATTCGGTCGTGGTGGTTGTCGGAGAACCGGTCGCGCGGACAGGAACAAACCGGAGGCATTGTGCAAGGTCGGTACGAACGGAGAACTAAGGTCAGCTGGTGCGGGATCGATATCCGCCGAATTCTCCCGACGTAGTCGCCGCTCGTATGTTTCGCCCGTGATCCGCGTAGGTCGAGACAGGAACGTGAATCGTAGCGGGGAGGATGGAGGGCTGGAAGAGCTGGAAAAGGGCCGAGAATTCGTTTCTCGCGGCATGGTACCAACGCGTCAGAGAGTCTTACGTCGCGGCCTGGTTCTTCGGGGTGTTTCAGACCAGCAGGATGTCGACGAGCACCGCCACCAGCGGCGGGGGCGGCGGCGGGGGAGGTGGAGGGGGAGTCGGAGGTGCCTTGACACTGATGAGCTGCGTCAGAGAGGCATCGCCTCCTCCACAGATCCATTATCATCATCAGCACCAACAGCACCACCAGCTCCATCGAAGCCTCGGCCTCGGAGAGTTCTCCGCGCAGAACAGCGTCGATCCGCTTCCAAAAGGTTCGTATTTACCTTATTTTTACCCTACAAGTCGTGCAATGAACGTATCACATAAGACTCGGTGAACTCACGTTGCAAAGTACAAAGTATGATTTTTTGAAAATTTTATTTCTACCTTGTGGATCATTGGAAAAGATAGGGCTATGAATGAAACGACGATAATCACTGGTAGAATGTACTTTTTATTAAATGATACGTTAAAGGTATATGAGTTCAGTTCTGTTCTGTGACGAACTCTTATCTTTCTATAATAAACACCAAAACTCCAGACATATACAATCGTCACTGGAGATGATTTTTGTTGACGGTTAGGAAGTCCAACATGAATGTTCGAGGGTGAATGTCCAGCCCTTAAGCAAACATTGCTCGATAGAAATGCTTAAAATGTCGGACCGTTTTGAATTTCCGGGTCGGGGATCGTCCCTTGTTAGTCGTACGCGTGGGCCGTGTAACTGAAAGGTATTCGATGCGAGGAAATAATGGGGCATTGTGCACGAGGTTCGATGTGTGCCGATCACGAAGGTCTTCGGCGGTGCGCGTTAAAAATATCGAGTGGTATCGCGTGCCCACGGCGACGGTCTAGACCGTGCACCGTCGAGGAGCGACGTCTCGCTCGAGGATCGCATTTTCAAGGTCTCAGCCGTAGATTACAGCGTCGCGGGTAAACGAGCCGTGCTATGAAAGACGGATTTACGTAAACGGGCGCGTACACTATCGATTCCGCAATTTTCGAGCCGTTTCAGCGATGGAATCCACGCTACGCTGTGTCTTGGACGGATCGTCCAGCGTGTTCCATCGCGGAAAAATGGTAACGGTAATTATATAATTACCGATCGCGTGCACGGCTGTTTAGAAAACGCGTTGAAACGGTTTTTTTGCCCCGGGAATTAAGGTGAAAGTTTTTCCCCGGCGCGAATTCTACCGTTCTGCCGCGCGACGAGAACGGGAATAATGGACGTCGCCGCAGCGAGTTATTAAAGGGTAATCCGGCGGAGTGCCCTTTATTCATTGTCGTCGCAGGAACGTGACTTCGTTGCCGTTACTCGCGGGACGTTGCGTTTCCGAGAGGGTACAACGACCTCTTTATTTTCATTAGCCTCCGGTAGATTACGAGACTCCGGGCCGGATTAGCTCTCGTAAGTTAATATCTGAATCGGACGGATGATTAGCAATTAACTCGTGCCGGGCGCTTTCGAGACGCTGCGGGCTTCGCGATGGAAATCGCTCCGCTTCACCGTAACCTCGAGCTTCTTTGCTCTTGGCATTTAACTCGAGAACGTCTGGAACCAGATTTTAACGTTCGGTATCGGCTGATAATCGGCGAAGCGATCACATCCTCGCGACACGAGTCGTAGAGTCGTGCATACCAAATGGGAGTTGGCATACTCGCGATTGCATAATGTTAACGACACCGCGAGGCTCCGGTTTTTTTCGAGGACGTGGTAACAGATGTTTTTGTTGCTTTCGGACAGGCAGACCAGAACGATTCACGCGTAACGTTATTTTGTACGTTCGAGCAATGCCCCAGGTTGCTGATGCGTGAAAAGCACACGCGAAACAATCGTTTTTTTTTCTTTTTTAACGAGTTTCCTCGTGAAAATGTTGACGGAAAATTCGTGACAAAAGTCTCTGAGAATAGGATCCTCGAGGGGCCCTTTTTTGGTGGAGGTAGTCGCGATTGTCTTCGATTTAAGGTGAATCGAATGGAATTTTGGTAAGGAAAGGTGGAGCCCACGCGTTATTGAGCAAGAACACACGGCTATTAACAGAAACGGCGAAACCAGGCCATGGCCAATCGTGGAATGAATGGCCACTCGAATGCGCGTATTCAGTTACCACTGGCTTTGAAACTTACGTGGAATTGCAAGATTTTCAGCCATCGCCGGGGATATACCGTACGTTTCCCCCTCCCAATCGCGAAACAAACGAAAACGCACCGTGAAAGCGTTAAAAAGAGTACAGCTCGAATCGAAATGTCGCGTGTGACGGGAGAGAAACTAGCTGATATTTGAGTCCGGAAGTTTTCTATGATCAAAGAGAAACGTTTACCCGTCCGTTGCATCGACAAGTCAGGAAACGAAAATTCTGAACGCGTTAAGTGCCCGTGGAAAATCAGGACGAGGAGAAACAGGGATTTTTTTATTCATTTTCACTCAAATACCGAGGACGGAATAACTGAAACGCGTAACGGAATTTTGTTAGTTCTCGAATTAATTGAAAATGTACAGCAAAGAAAGCGGTTTGTTTCATAATTGAAGAATCCTCGTGGAAAGTAGCTTAAGTGTTAAATGGAAAACACCGTTTTCTTCGAATACCGTTGAACAAGATCATATTTTCCAACTTTCGAATTGAACTTATTAACTAATTAGATATCGGTTGGAGCGATAATGCAATCGCATTTTAAACGTGGGTAAATACAATTACGATTTTCAAGATAGTAACATTTCGCAGGAAATTCTGGCGAGTGGAAAGTTTCAATCGTCGAGAACTCTTCCTCGAAAGATAGGTTTATTGTTATTCATAAGCATAAGATTCTTTGTTGTTGTCGAATATTATATATAAATCATGATGTCGAAGTGACCTTTACTCGAAAGGTGATTTTTCCCACCACGTTTATTTATTTTATTTTTAGATACTCATTTTTTCAAAAACAAAATAGCCTCTATATACTATAAGCTACTGATATAAATAATTTACTTTACATTACGAATAGAATTTTTATGTGAGTCGCTAATAACCCTTAGCGGTTGATGCGACTTTAAACAAATAAATAAATAAAAAAAAAAAAGAATTTTTATAATTATTCCTATTATTTAAAGTAGCGAAGATATCGATGCAACCTCTTTCTAAAGGGACAATCCTGTGTTTAGTATCGCTCGCGAGATTGGACGAAACGATTATCAGCCTTTGTACATTTTTTACCATATAAGGCATACCGTACCGATAATAGGGTTATCACGTCTCCGCTGCGTAATCTTATCGGGATCGTTTTCTGCGTTATCATACCGCAAAGTCTGTCACTTGCAAGTAATGTGTGCATTCGCAAATGTTTGCGGAAAGTTCAGCGAAATACTCTCTGCCTGAATACCAGGACTTTTTCGGTAACGTGTGCGGCTATCGTTTTCATGTGTCGTCCAGTTCGCTTAATCGCTTTGTGTTACATCAGTTGCGTGTCGTTAAAAACGTCGAAATAAGTAGTTCGATTTAGGGAACGTCACCCTGTTATTTGCGTACGAATAACGGGACTCTCGGTGCAAATAAAAATGTCTTCGAATAAGTTGGTACCGAAGTGCATAGAGGATCTGGTTTCAAAGGTGTTATCTTCCACGCTAGAATGATTACAGTTCAAAGGAAGGTACGTGACTCGATACCGCGGGGAACGTCGAGTGAATCGGTCTCGAAGCGAAAAGGAAAAGTAACCCTTTCGGAGACTATAGCCCCGAAGAACAGAGACCCATCGAGGCTTTTTTTCTCGCGAGTTTCGCAGCTTCAATCGTGCCTAAGGACGAGCGAGGAGGGTGTCGTTTCCTACCCCCCTGAATCGTTCCCTTCGCTCTCTCCGTACCTTTTCGACGATTGAAAGCGTCGAGGCGCTTTGCGCCGTCGCGACCCTCGTTCCTCGGGATTTTCCTTTCACCTTGGACCGCTTTGTTGGAACCCTTTCTTTCGATACGCCGCAATTAAAAGGCATCCGTGCGTTAACGAGTGCTACGTCGGTCTCGAGGGCTCGTGTTATTTGCTTATCCCGCACCCTCCCGGTGTCTCCCGCCTTCCGATAACGCGGCATTGTTGTTCACCCCCGTCGCCTGGAACCCGGGGAAAAATTGCTGTTGCACGCGTTTCGCCCGGCCAGACGATGCTCTTTTCCCGCTCCTCTCATCGCGCGAACAGATAACCTTTATCCGTTGGTCCTGGAGGATGAAATTGCCTCGACGGGAAAGTGGGTCGGTCGGGGGGGGGGAACTCGAAATCATTCTCCCGCGTGGAAATTCGATTTTCCGAGGCCGTCGCGAACTGGGACACTCGGGGAAACAAGTTTCCTATCAGCATCGCTTGGAAAGGTGTTGAAAATAATTGGGGGAGCGTTCCCAGAAAACAATGCGAGTACCAGTTGCATAACGTAGTCCGAAATTTCGGTTTTTCGTAACGGTTTACGAACAGTTGTTCGACCTTTCTAGTCGAGATTATCCGCTGGACAGATACCAATCCTGCGATCGATAGACGCGCGTTTGACGATCAAACCAGGAGTATGCTCAGGTATTATCTATTTGGCCGCGATCAGCCTGTTCCACTAATCGTTTCGAAAGCCTTTTATGGTTCTGTTTATCTAGCCTCGCCTGCTCAGAAACTCGTTTGTTGCTCGTTGTTCTTAAGAACACAGTTATCCACGAGGATTATGCTTTCATTATTTCTATCGTTTTCCCATTAAATTTCCAATAACTAATAATCTATATTACGACGTTTATAATATCTGAAACGTCAGACTCTGCCAGTTATTGAATGTTGAAAATCGCAACCTGGTAGGATTAGGGTTAAAACGCAAACGAAGACGCGGAGATCAAAGCCCCGTAATCCGTCGCCGAGAGATCAAACGATCGACACGTTTCTCTGTCCAATTTCACTCGTGATTTTCAGCCGCGAGAGAAAATTCCGTCCTGCGGGGATTCGTTTCGAAGCAGGTTTCTCCCGATGAAATCGAGTTTTCATTTCCTACCGATATCGAGTTCCCGAGGACTTCGCCGTCGGCGTCGAATCCGCTCGGGTAGGGTAGAAACGTCGCGCGAGCAACCGCGTTACGCAATCCGAGGAGAAAGTCACGACGAGATACGTTCGTTTAATTGTCTTGTTCCTTCGTATACAAACTACTCGTAACATTCGAGCAGATCGCGCTCGAAGTTTTCTAGCATCCCCAAATAACCGGTTTTGAATTTTCGCGCCTTCACAGAGCCGAAGAAGCGGCGCTTTCATCCACTTCGCGGCCTACGGAAGATCTTTCGACGAAAGAGTCGAGGCGCTGCGGATGTCAGACAGGTCTCCAGCCACGTGGACAAGGATGCAGACATCGTACGATTGCCGCGGGAGGACATCACCGATCGACATCCCGCAGGACGTCCCGAGGAAGCTCGCAGTCGAAGCGCCAGCGAGCTCCTCACCGACTCCTGCGATCGGGAAAGGTACACGCTAAAAAAAGATCTATCTTATAACAAGAGTAGGTGTCTGCAATAAACAAATCCCGTACAACGTGGCGGGAAGCTTGCGTAAAGCACGCACGTACGATATACATGTGCGGCTGTGACCTACTGTCCTTTATTTTCGTAATTCGATTGCGAGCATTCGCCGATAAGTCGGCCAGCCGTTTCCCCACCAGATCGAGTCACTCGATAGACCTGTCGATTTTCTGTTTCACAACCCGGTGATAGAGCGGCCAAATAAGTACGAAAAAGCAGCGGGAGGGTGCAAGTGCGGACGCCATTTTCGATGCGCCATTGTACCTTTCGACCCGCGGAACAATACGGTCGTAATACGACCCTGGTCGAACGATCATCGCGATCGATTTCTAGAAATTTGTGTTTTGAAAAGCAGGTAGTTGTTACCTAAAGACATTCTACTAGACTTTAAGACTATGAGTTTAACACTAGATTGCCCAAGGAAGTCATTTTGACTGCTTTTTAAATTCTTAGAATTTTGAGACTTTTTGTACAACATATAAATGCGTTTATTAATAATTGTAGTTACCTCCCCCCTCCTTCATTTCTGGTATATATGTGTTATACCTATATTGCCCAAAAGCAGTCATTTTGACTCTTATTATTGAATTCAGTAAATTTCTTATATGACCAGTTCGGCTGTGTATTGAAATAACACTTTTCATTTTTTTTTCAATTACCGACACATGATAACATACAAGTATATGATAAATTGTCGATTTGGGGCGTATACTTAATAAGTTGCAGTTTTTCAATAAGCTAAAGCAGTACTTGTTGTTCGAATCTTTATACGGTGATACTTGTTCCAACAAGTTGTTTATTTTATTTCTTTTGCGCCCTAAATTCATAATATTAAAAATTAATTTATTCTTTCACAATGCAGTCATTTTGACTGCTTTTGGGTAATATAGGTATATACAGAGTTTCAGTCTTTCTAGTGTTAATTGACCGAACGCATCGAGTATGTAACGTTTCCTTTTTGTTTATCGTCTCAGCGTGTTCCTTAGGAGGACTGGCATGGAAGAGTCGTTCGTGAAGCTGCGAGGAGGAGCCGGGAAATTGTCCGTGTCGCACGACAGCGTTTTCCCCGGGGAGGTTCCTCACACTCGGCCTCTCTCGTCGTTGGCAAGCCTGGCAACCCTCGAGGTCAGTATCTCCTTTATTTACCAGCGAATCCACGGACCGTCGAGATTCCTCCGGGACCTCGTGGACGTTCGAATTTTTCAAACGAGCCACGAATTTCGTGCCAGGTCTCGCTAGCTCGAAATTTCGATCACGTTCGTTTCAAGTTCTACCGAGACGTAGCCTGTCTCGGATTACATCGAACTAAAACTGACAAAACGTGGAACGAAAACGCCTCGTAGATCTGCCCGACGCGATCGATGCGATTTCGCACGACCACGGCGAGGAATGATAAACAGAGGCGCGACGAAGACGATTATTCTCATTATCCAATGAGCGTAATGCCCGCCGAGGCATTCTAAGCACGCGTGAATCGAGTTAAGGCGGTTACACGTGTCCAGGATCGGCTCGTGACTCGTCTTCCAATTTCCTCGCTCGCATCCGCGCCGATCAAGCGTCAGAGTTCCCTGTAATCCAATTAACCCCTCAGGTACGACGCAACTTTCAATTCTCGAGCGATGCAACGAGGCTCGACGCTGCAAACAGAGACTATCGTCAAATTTGATTCGTGAACGTGGAAGAATTTCGATTTTTCTACGAACAATACGCGACTAATTTGCCCAAGATACGAGATAATATCAACCCGTGAACTTCGTCGCCGAAATCGAGCCACGATCGGGCAAAAACGGTCGTTGAATTATTTATGGCCGGAAAAAGAGAAGAAGTTTGCGGGACCCGGTCAAGTATAGCGACGGTTCGATCCCTCTCTTCTTTTTCTTGGGGGGGCGCGCAGGCCAGCGAACCGAGGCGCGCGAATTTGCAAACAAATGATCTATTGTCACGGCGCCGCGGCGCTCCGTCGATCGACCAAGATTCCGCGGGACGATTTACAACGCGTCGACTGTCCGCTTTGTTCGCTAATTGTCGTCGCGTGCTCGATGTTATGCAAATCACGAGACTCGCTCTCCCGCCGAGGCAGCTTTTTGCAGACCCGTTTTTCGAACGAATCGACCGCCCTCCGCGCACGGAACAAACTTCCTTTCTATCAGGCGTATGCGAAACCTTCGCCTTACCAGCGTTCGAGCATAATTATTTGTTTGAAAGCCCCAAAACTTTTGATAAATGAATGTTGCACCGGCGAGATCGAAAAGAGATTCGACGATTCGGTCAAGCAGAGTCTCTCGTTCGGAACAAACGAAAGCTAGGTTTCGCTGGGAATTACCGTATCGCGAGCGGATTTGTATCTCGTTCGAAAGCGAAGTAGTCGTTGTTTTGCCTCAAGACCCGTGGTTCGCGTTCGAATCTCGCGAACAAACGAAGAAACGGCCGAGCACCGGGTCCTTTCTATTCGCGGTCCGAGCGGGAATAAAAAAGAACCGACACGCGTTCCGTTCTGATACGCGAGGAAAGTCAGGAATTGTTTTCACGTTCGTGGAAAATGACGTGACAGTAGGCGGTCGTGACCGTTCCATTTCTTCCTTCGTTTTTCCAGCGGAGACAGACGAGAAAAAGCAACGAGATCGAGTACAAGGAGTACAATCAACACGTTGTTCAGAGGCGCAGGATATCGCTTCGGGTAACCTTTCAGAGCATCTTAAAAGCCACACCTTCTTTGAAAAAGCTATTTTTTTTTAACAATATGTTTTTATAAAACGACGCTTAACGATGCACGCGCGACAGTCGACGAGCGCGCGAAATTCGTTCGCATTTATAGCAACGAGACCGAAAAAGAAGAAAGAGGAGGGAGCATTCCGTAAGAGTTCCTCGAAACGGAAATCGTCCGGTTGGAAACGAATTTTTTCGAACTACCGTTTTAATAGTGCCGACGAAGCTGAAATCTAGGCCACGTGGTTTTACGGAAACTATAATTACGTGTAGCATTGTGGAATAATTGTCGAGCGTACGTTCGTTTGCAGGTGCTCGAGCAAATAAAGACGGTCATAGAGAACCGGAACCAACTGGCCGCTGCGACCTCGTCGGATACCACGAACACCGTGCACGTAAGTGTCGAGACGAATCGGACCGTTTTTCCTTTTTTTTTATTTCACCTCCTCGTTACGCAATCCTTGGGAATACGATCCAACAGATTTCAAACGGATCGTCTTAACTCCGGGGGCCATTTTTTAATTAATCCGAGTTTCTAAATTCTTTAGAGAAAAAAAGAATCGCGGCGGGGACTTTTACTCGTCCATCGACCTCTTCCCGGCGAGACACCGGTCCAATATTTTCCCCGGCTTTTATCTCGATACGAAAGTGAAGAAAAGTCGCGGTAAAAGACGAGAACGAGACGAACGAAAAAAATTTATTAAGACGTTCATCCTTGGGAGATTTTTTTATGCTTCAAACACACTTTTGACGTTCTTCCTCATTCTTTGGCAGCTTTCGTAACGTTGCCTATCGACGATGACTGTTAACGGTTGGAACATTAGCAACGCGATAGCAACCGTTTACGTGCCCGTGGAGTGATTTCGGTACTATCTGACATTCCACTGTTCCAATATTCACGACTCCATTTACATAATTATAAACAAAGATATACGCGACGAACGATCGTTTAAATGTCTTAAAGCGTCAGAAGAGGGGATGGACGAGGAAAAAAGTCGATGACACGGCAAATGAATAGATTTCACGCCTCACCTTCCATAACTATTTAATTATGTCTGATGTCACTGTTCGTTTTTGCGTTTCAGGCTGTCGGTGAACGTTATCAGCAGGAAACCGCCGAGGTAAGATAGCACGACGAGTTTTCATTCCGAGTGTCGATGGCGGGTTTGCGCTGCGCTCTGCGATTCGGGCGAATAGTCGCGCTCGCGACGCGCACTTGTCCAGTCGTTTCACGCTGTCCAGTCTCTGATCCTCGCGAATCGCGTATAGTTCACGGACAGATCGTCTAAATGCATCGAGAAAACGTTTTAAATTCAGTCGACGGAATCGAACGGAGACAATCATGAACGAGTTCCACGGTGAAGTCTGTTAAAAAGAAAACGAAACAACAATGGCCGACGAAGGAGCCGCGAATCGCAGACCGTTCGGAATAATGTTGAACAAGGTTCTATTTCTGGCCTCGATCGTCTCGAATTTACGGAGAAACAGATTAAGGGTAAGGGGGAAGCGTCTCTTGTTCGTGTAACTTTCTCTCTCGTTTGACAGTTCGATACATTCGCGGGTCCGGCGACTCGTTTATTAATTACTTTCATTCGTTGCGTCACCTGCATTTACAAGCTGGTATATTTAGATCGACAGCGAAGGAAAATCAATTTGTAGTTTAAAACGTACGACTTTATCGTTTCGAGACGCGTCAACGCGTGGGCAGTGGAAAATAATTCCAAAATTCTTCGAGCACTTGTACCAGACACTGTCGTCCAAATGTTAAATCATAAATATAACAGTTTAGGGTGACAGTAACTGGATTATTTGTCCTGCATCCGAACCCCGAAGTTTAATCCGGACTTCCTTCGATTTTCAGAACCGTTTCTTCGGCTTTGAGAAGCAGGAGAGGGGCGGGGAGGAGAACCAAGCGAAGGTGAGTCCTTAATCCTTAATCCTGAGGATCTCGGTCCCGCCATTCGTCTGAACGCGGTAACGAGAAGAAAAACGAGCCGCGGACGTTTCGCTAATAGGCGTCTCGTAAATCAGTATCAGCCGGGCGAATTTCTGCGTGCAACAGGTGGCGAATGGCGGACCCGACAGAGACTCGTTAATTTTCCACGCGCGGTGTTTCGTTTGCGTTGCCAACCAGTCGGAAAAACGGTATCGTCGATCGCCAGGGAACCGCGTACGATCGAATGAAAACGTCGAAAGCAGCTGGTCGTCTCGAGATTTTATAACGAAAGAAAGAAAAATGAGAAGAAAATCGAGAAATAGCGGAATACGCAATTTATACGAAGTCTCCGGCGCGTTTTGCCCCCCCGAGACGAAATAAAATCGTTCTCGAGACAGTGGTTTCAGCGCCGACAGAATGTTTTACGTCCCTTTTACGGCGTTCTCGTTGTTCTGCTTCTCTCGCGATGGACTCGCGCCTCGCTTCTGCACCGCGGCACCCGTCGCTATTATTTCCAGCCATCGCGAATCTCCGCTCTCGCTGCTTTTATTGTGACACGCGACAACCGTTAAAACAATGTCGCGAGGAAAACGCTTCCACGAACTTGCGGCCGCTGAAAAACTGGGTTACGCTTTGTCCGATTCGGACGTTTGCTTTCTGCGCGCGTGAAACTCACCCGCGTTTAACTCACCCGCGTTTAAAAGTGCGTGGACGTGGCATTATCGAAAGTTGATCTCATCGAACGGGAAGGAGAATTGTTGGATTTGATGATATTGAAAGTCGCGGGGGGATTTAATATCGTCGGAGCGTACGGAGTGGAGGTGTTGTAGGACACGATAAACAACTGTTCGAAATAGACGGGGGAAAAAAACGTTCGAGAGTGAGCGCACAGTGAATAGGACACTGTAAGAACGACGCGATATGGAGTTTACCGTTACTTGGCCTGAAGACTCGTTACAGCGGGGATCAAGCCGTCGAATGCTTCGAGCAGACTTTCGAGGCGGCTTGCTTTCGGTTCATCGGGAAAGGATATATATCAGGGACGCTACGTCGCTGCTGGTAAAGTTGTTTTCGGTCGGTCAGTTCATCAATCAGATGTATCACAGACGAGATATACGAGTAGACCTTACTCAAAATTATTTTTAATTGGGAGAGTCAATTACAATCATTTTTGGTCACCAGACATGCCCCCGAAATCCCAACCATTTTCGAGAAAAAAATTCATTACCGAAAATATGATGCAAGACCAGAAATGTTTCTAGGATTTTCTTATTTTTAAAAATATGTTATAAAATTCCAAATTTGGAGAATCTAGACCCCAAGTTTTTACATCTGTGTGAACGTCCAGTTAATTTATTTAATTCATTGTTTTCATATTATCGAAAGAGTTTGTTTATCGGTAAAAGCGTTTTCAGTGGTGGCGCTCAAGTAGATACGGTCGGTAATGCACAGACAAGGGTAACGAGACTACTGCCGGTAGAGATCTCTGCCTCCGAGCGTGTCGATAAAACAGAACAGTCTGTGGTGTAGAGCTTATTAAAAAACAGTTTGCAGGCACCTGTAACACGACGCCCGAGTGATTAATAATACTCATTAACGAAACAGTATCGGTGACGCCAGCGTCCAACCATTCGCATTCAGCGCGGCACGAAAGTCGGAATTCCTTGCTTTTATCAATGCCTACAAATTCCTTATTAAACTTTCAACTTACCGACGAGATCACCGTGCCATAAATAGACTTTAACGAACAGAAATTAGTATTCGCTCGAGCGGGCAAAGACGAATTGGAACATCAAACGTTGGAAACTGCCGCGAGACTTTCTTTCGCCATTACGTAAAAATGCTTACAAGAGCACGACGCTCGCGGCACGGTTTTATGATGAATTTTTTTACCCCGATCGATGAGGTTGCACGCTCGAATATAATCTCGAACGTTTCGAAATTTCTTCACAAACCTTTGAACCATTTTTAAATGCAAAACTATCGCACTGATAGAAAATCCTTTTCGGAAGTTAATTATGTTCCAATTAACTCTATTATTGGATTTCTAACAGGATCATAAAATTCAAATAATTGAAAAACATCCGGGTTTGTATATTGCACAACACCGCGTCTACGAACGAGATATCGAGCATCGCTTTCCATTTCTTCGATCGTTAAATGTAATCGTGATCAGACGAATTCATGATTATTGTTACAATAAAATCGATCGACTCTTACGGAAGGTAATAAAGACGCAGGAATTGCACTTTCTCAATAAGAGGCAAGATTTTATTCAAACAATAATTAACCTACAGCAATTAAATTCGGAGAAAAAACCATTGCTATCGCCTATGAGTGACGAAATATTACAAATATTACATAATAATGCACAATGCAGTAGAACCAGCCATAATACTCGAACGTACGATAAGAAAAGAGGCATAGGTCATTTTGTTTGACAGAAAAGAATCGAACGGTGGCTTGAAATTCGCGGGGATCTCGATTATTAATTTCCCGGTTGGATCGTTCGCGTATCGGTCGACGAGATAATCGCCGGAAGATTTACAAGATGCTGTTGCATCTGTCTGCGTGTATAGCTTTTGACATTTGCGCGCGAGCATGTCCCAGGCGGAGGGTCCGGTAAGCCAGTTTGGTATTTGCGTGGCATTTATTGCACCGCGTTGCTTTCGTCGCGGAATGCCAGCAAGGCCAGCGGAATCCTTGCAGATCCTTGCCCGGAGGACTGTACCGTTACCGGCGTCGAATAAAACCTTCTCTCCTCTGTTTATCCAATAAATTGGTACGCCTGGCCGCGCGTCGCGTGCTCCAACGGCGAAAGGTCAACGAATACGCGCGGTTCCCCCTCGAAATTCAAACGTTTCCTTCTCGTTCGATGTTCCTCGACGTCGAAATTTCACGTAGGCTCGTCACGAACCGCCGTTGCGACAGGATATTCCGAAATTCGCCGCGGTTTCACCGACAATGTGCAACCCCAGGCCTAACCGACGAAGGCCTCGTTTCGACGAGTAAAAAGAATAATCCGAGGAGAGTTTTGAAACCGAAGAAACGCCGTCCGGAGAGACGTCGATTTTTGGAATCGTGCGGAGACGTAGTTTCCAAGGCCTTTTGCACTTTTGCAATCTCTGGCGAGTGAACTGCCCGAAACTCGGAACGATCGACCGCGAAGGTCTGCCCCGTTTACCGGATGTCGAAAAAGCGGAGAAGATCCATGGTCGCGTGCACGCGCGAGCGGTTTTCCGTTGCCTCGACGACACTCCGCGGATTACGAAAGGAAAAGAGGACGACTGAAATGGCGGTGGGGATGGTTACGGATAGGTCGGAGGAATATAGAGCGGACCAAGGTATCCCGATCGAGCGTGAACGGACTCGAGAAGCGTCGATCGCCGGCGAGAAAGACCCGGTTTTTAGAAAGCAACGCGTTCACGCCGGTTCTGCTACGTTTTCGCGGTGTCGAAACGTTTTGTCAGAACGTAGCGAATGTCTAGGTAACAGGCCCACGGTGGAGGGGAACGGGGGAGTATCCGCGGTGGTGCTTCGAACGAACAGCTGGCAGCCAACAAGATTGGTAGCACCGTTACCGCTGCTTGTCCGATTCCTCGTAGATCAGTCTCCTCGATCGTACGTCGTCCCTGTCTTTCTCTTGTCAGGGGTCATTAGTCTTCAGTGGCGTATCAGGACAGGATTTGCCTCGCGTTCCTGCGTACTTGGGAGCCTGATCCTTCGACTCCTTGCGGTTACCAGCTCGCTCGAAACGACCGCGAGACGCCAGAGGAGTTTGAAATCTTGGTTACTCGACAACTCGGATAGCACGGTAGTTCCTCGTTGATATTCGCTACCGTTTCATCCCCGCCAATTCCTGGAACCGAAAAATACGGATAAAACGGTGATGTTCGAGCGTCGGGTTTCCAGATTGGCACAGATCGGAGTCGCAGAAGTCGTCACGCGAGAGTTTCGTTTTAACGAAGTTACCGGAAGCCCGCGAGTCGACCATATCCCGGATTGGTGGAGCCGCGTTATCGGGTCGTTTCGTGTGGCTCCCGATCCCGCGATTACGTCCCTGTCACCTGCGCGCCTGCCATTGCCACTTCTACCCGCCGAAAGTCAACCAGCCGAGGAGAAAGAATATCGCCCGTTGCGAGCAGCCAGTACCACGACGCGTTTTCCGCACGCGACACGCGTACGCGCGCGCCTCCGTCCTCGTTTGTACACCGGTTCGCGCGAAAGGGCTTCCCTCGCGTACTTTTTCGATCGATCACCGGCCAGCGAAGGTCGAGGAGGCGGCTAGCACACGAAGCTAGCGGTTTCCAGCGGATCCTAAGCTTCTTCCCCCGACAGTCGTGCGAGCCGATTCTTCGCGCGAACAGTGAACATCGTGTGCTCTGCGCGGGGATCCGTTGCATCGTTCTACCGGAAATCGAAGTCCCCCCAGGGTGTTACGATCGTGGCAAGTTCATCGTAGCAGTGATCGCGAAAAGTATTCGTTCCTCGTCGGGCCACCGGTGCATATTTACGAGTCCAGTGAATTTTACTCGTGATTGATCGGAAAGTTCGCGATGGATAGCGTTATCAAACGAAAGTTTGGTCTCCTCGAGGAATAAGTACTTTTCCGTTACGAACGCTCGCTGGAAGAAAGTTTTCGTGCAGATAACTGAATCTTCGATACGCGATCGATAGCACACTCGAAGGACGATAAGAATAGGAAATTATCTGTTAATTATCTCCGTAAGAAATGGTTTGCAATTGGTTGTCGTTGGTCTCCGGTATCGTTTACGGAATCAAACGGCTGCGGTTAGCTCGAGATGGAAATACAACGATCGGGTTCCAAGATCGTTAAATCGAGAGCGAAGGATTCACCGCGTTCGGCAATCAGACCGAGTCGATCGGTCAATTCCGAGACGGATAAACGACTCTCGATGTCGGTATCGAGCTGACGTTGGAAATTAGCATGCTTCCTCCATTCGTTGTACTTCCTCTTCCCT